CCACATCCACACCCACACTCACACCCCACACCCACACCCCACACCCACACCCACACCCTTCTTAAAAACCTTTCAATATCGGAATCTTGAAGAATTTTCTGGAAAATAAGGATTTTGCTTAAAAGTTTCGGATAGAAACCTATCGTTGTTTTCATAGATAGATAGCTCTGGATCTCCTCTACAATTCTATATTAGACAATAGATGGTTCTTTTCTTCCTGATTTAATAAAAGAATAAAGTGTGTGGGGTGTGGGTGTGAGTGAGGATCCGTATCAGTAGAACAGTACTTCCACAGCCACACCTTCCTCAGCGTAGATCGAACCATACAGTATACAATGGAAGCAGATGTGATAATCCTGCACGGCTGCTCACACCTATACGAATGTCTATCAGAGCTTTTCGGAGCGCGTGCTATGTCATTCCAGTCATCGAGGAACTACAAAAGCATGAAAGACAATAATTAGCCCTTGTAAAATTCGTTGATAAAACGAAACGAGACAGAAACGTGCAACGGGTCTAGACGTGAGTGACGTAGCATACTGTTCTGCCAATCGTTCGCACCCTTAATCTCCATCCATCGTTTGATAATCATCTTGTCTATTGCTTGATATGGTGAGCAGTGTTTATAGCGTACATAAGTAGCTTACTGTTTTGATTAATTTTCAATATTTACAATCCTCTATTATCAATAACTGATCGATGTCAAAATTAATCAATTTTTTTTATTCGAACGGTTTGAATTTACTTACTATGTATGCAGTAGTGTAATTTTGTATTTTGAGTTTTCTCATATGTTCTTGTAAACTTTTAGTTGATATTTATCCTGTACATATTGACTTCAATAGCAGTCTGTCTGTTACTACGAAGACGGTTTTTTTTTTAATTTTTCAAACACATACATCAACAACAAATACCTTTCTCGACCATAGTGCATCTATGTTTGTACGATTCTAGAGTGCACTTGACGTCGCTAAAAGAATATTTTGGCATGGTAAACATAGCTGAAAGATTTTCTAATTTTCAAGGCGTACATGAGATTGAACAAATGATCTGTGTCCGCGCCCCTACTCTCCTCAAAATCAAGACTAGTTTACCTGCACTACACAATTGACTTCATGACATATCTATTGATAGCTTCGATTTAACACAGCTAATCATATTATATCGAGAAGTTCTTCATTCGCTTTTAATATTAATATTATTAGGAAGTCAAGATGTATTTTTATGAACAATAAAAGTTATTATATCCGACTGAATACTCATTGTATTTTGTGTTTTGAAAAAAAAACCTGAGTCAAATAACCATTGATATTTATCTATTTTATAGTCAAACAAAGCAAAAAACAAACAAAAAAAAAAGAGATTGACATTGAATGAATATCTTTGTTTTAGTCTTTTAGAATTCTCCAAATGATCCATTATTATTTGTTAAAAATCTATTGAAATCAAGTCTTGTTAAGAAAACACCTAAATGTGGTAAAGCATTATGTTTTTGAACCATTCCTAATATTCCAAATAACAGTCTTATTTCATCATTAAAATCTCGTCCAAATTGTCGTAAAATATTTTCATCAAAATTATTATTTTCTTGTTGTTTTGCTGTTAAACAAAATGAAACACATATTGATAAAATATTTCTTATTGATTGATATGCTGTTGCTAAAAGCATAAATGAATGTTGTTGAATATCAGATAAAAATACTTCATGTAAATATTTAATTTTTTGAAAATCAGTACTTGATAATATTGAACGTATTAATTGTTGATATTTATATTCTAAT